CGCCAAATGGACATTGTTGTAAAAAAAAATTCTTTGAAGTATCGCTTTTCAAATATCTATAATTATTACTATTTGGAATAAAATTTGAGATTATCGATCAGTACAGAAAAATTTGTCTGGAAACTCTTACGTATCAGTGACGATACGTTTCATTTTTTGACAATTTGTCGTAGTATAAGAGAAAGGCTACAAAAGAGATAAACGTGAAGCTGTAATCAAAGGAAAGAGAAAACGACTTATTCGTAACTTTATTTCTATGAAAACGTTAATAAATGTCAACAACTGGCATTACTTCGATGAAAATTTACATAGAAAGACAGAAATGTTTTATCGAGAATCCAGTATAACCGAAAGGTCAAAGATTTGTTTCACTCACGAATCGGTTTATTACATTGCAACATTTTAATTCTGTGAAATTAAACGCCTCGTAACTAATAAATAGTTGATTTAATGATCGATTTGCTATTTAATTTTCGATCAGAACACATAGACATTGATACGGATTTACATGAAACCCATATCGTTATTTGCACGTTTCACGCAAAAATAGCTTATGGTCGTTGTATTGTACGTTCACATCCAAATCACATTTTGAATAAAATACATTTTTTCGTAGGTTTTTCTGAGAAACATGAATATTATAATTACAACACTGATTTTTAAATATACTTAATCACTTTATCAGTGTCATATAAAATAATATTATGAATAAAATATTTATTTAATTATGCAAGTTATTTCTTTGGAAACTTTAATAACGAATATACTGCGAAAAAAGATATTCTGACTTTCTCCATCTCATTTCCCAGCATTATTTTGACTAATTAAATTTGTTGCATTTAATTAATTATTTACGAACCACGAATAATAGGAAACCTCTAAAACATTTCGATTGAAGCGTTATGAAAATGAAACATTGTAGGGAAATATAATAGGGAAATGGCGCGATAAAATACACGTTGAACGTAGGTATTTGTGGATACCATTGTTCAATTTATGTGAAGCTTTAGACAATCACGATCGATGATATGTAGTCGGTTGGAAGAAATCAAATGACAGCTGCATCCGCTTGGTTTCTAAATATTCACGGCAAATACACCATTTATCGCCTACGCCTGTGTTTCTGCGTAGTACTGTAGCCAAATATGTTGGAACACAATCCAAAACAAATACATAATCTAAATTTAGCAAAGTTTGTAACATTAAATTCACGATATTTCATGATTAGTATTTTCACACCTTCTAATAAACCTAAAATTATAACAAAATTCCACAGATCCATATAAATCTTCTTCTCAATATTTAGGAAATAATTTATTATGTATATTCCAGAAGGAAACAACCGTTCTGTTACTTTACCAAACCTTTTAACAATCTTATTATACTGTAAGGAAACCAGAACTAAACCAAATATCAATAAACACAAAATGTTCATTTGCAAACCTATCAGATAAATATAGAAGAATTAAAAGGAGATAAATTTTAATATCTAATTGGAAGCTGACGTTCAAGCCATTCGTGTATCAAGAGCAAACATTATTGTGCAAAGTAAATTGATTGCTGGTTCGAAACCAGATCGAATGAGTTTGGCACTAGACAGCCAGGAATAATGTACGCAACGTGTTAACACGAGCACTATAACAATGTAGCCGCGATAACTACCGTATTAACCTCGCTAAATTATACGTTGAATAGCATTTAAATTTTCAAACCTGATCAATATGCCGACATTGACCTCTATCAAGAATTTTCATTCCAAATATGTAATTATGGTCTTCCACAAATTATCGATATCCGTGTGGCTAATCAATTCTACGATCTGTATATTTTAACCGACTGCGTGTCTTTCAAAACCTTGCCACCGAAACCAATTAAAATAATATATGCGCTAAATTTAATTAAGGTTAAGAGAATTAATTAGAAACTGGAATTACGAATAAAATATTGCTATTGATCTCTTGAATAAAAATCCACTGATCTTTGAAAAAGTGAGTGATAAATTGCCGGAGACAATTATAAATTATTCCTTACAATATTCTACAATTACGCTAATTACCTATCGAAGAAAGAAACAATTGCAAGTTGATATGACAACGTGACATTTTAGTAGCTGCAACTCTACAGGCTGGTTCAGACAAGACGAGTAGTTTAGTCAAGTAGCAAGTAAAGCCGAATTTACACTGTTTCACTATGAACGATTCACCGAAAGACGTCGCTTTCATCCTAGTTCCATCCGCAGTGGTCCTCCAATGTGAACAGTGTAAATTCGGTGTAAATTACAGTACGAAATTGGATAAGCTTTAAAGCAAACGTAAACTAAAAGATACAAGAAATATGAAACAGCAAGAAGATATATTTGAAACGAATGAACACGGTTCATATCAAACGAATAAATACATCAGTATATAAATTTCATTTATGTTTAACAACATAGCAGCTTTTATTTTATATCTGAATGATTTTTTCCTATCACGTTAAAGGAGCGGAACTGATATTTCTATTAAAACAAAAAATACTTTTTCATTCGTGATTTTCAATAACATCAACAGATCCATATAGATGACAACGCTAGCCCTTTTCTTACCGAACTCATTCCCTCCCACGTTTCAACTTTACTCTTATGTATTTTCGATACGTTACAGTGAGAGTAGATATATACACACGTACAAAAGGCACGTAAGTAATACGCACGGAAACCTAACCAAGCAGGCTTCCCCATTAGCGTCTATGGATGTCTCAACCTACTAAATATAACTGCTGCTTGTCGTGGCTATTTCCTACTTGAGATACGGTCACGATAGAACTCCGTTTATGCAAACAAGTGAGAGAACAGAATCAGAGGAATCTGATAACCGAATGATTCCGATAACGATAGTCCACTAGCTATTCCCTTTACTGTCCCTTTTAGTTCTGATAATAATCCATGAAACTGAAGTTGAGCACATTTATGCGTTTTGTTAAGTTGTTTCTTTATCGAATTCAACTATTCTTTATCTAGCAGACATGCAAATTGTTCTAACACACAACAAATGGTTGATAAAATATATCCAAAACGTTGTTACCTGCTAGCCCATGATGTTGCAGGGGAGAAGGTCTAAGTTATGGAACACTTAAGTATTGGAACTTTCTCTTTCCTTAGCCTTAGAGGTTAATGAAGGTCAAAGGTCCTTCTCAGGTATTCGGATTTATTCTATCGTTATTCATAGAAGATAATGCAATAAATGTTCTATGAATAACGGTAAAGCAAACAAATCCGAATATCTGGAAAGATCCCTTGATCCTTTTTACCATCGGCTCAGGAAAAAGAAAATGTCAATACTTAAGTGTTCCATAACCTAGGTCTTCTCCCTTGCGACATCGTAGGCTAGCAAATGACAATGTTTTGAATCTGCTGTACCCAGTATATTTTCTTTGTACTTTGTACAGTCATCGACCTGGACGTAGGTTTGGGGACGCAAATTTTGGGTCCGTTATACCTAGTATATTCGGGTCTTCTTTGCGCTTTGTAAAATTTTCCATCTAAATGAAGGTTCTTAAATATTCAGAATGTGCTGTAAACGTGACTAAACTGAAATCGCTCGTCACAATCGCACACGAAAGTACATCGAGTTTATTTAATGTTCCTAGGAAAAGGTTAGCTTATTTGTACACCATTTGAGTTGTTCATATACTACGATAAACGTGAAATAAAAAGAGTTGAAGATTTTTTCTCTTGATTGTAATAAGTTTACGTACAAAAAGGTGGTGAATTTGATTTTTCTCCCTTTCTTTTTTTCTTTTTTGCTTGTTATCGCGTTGCGTGTCCTGCGCGCCAGTCACCGAGTAAGATGAGAACGCCACGAATTGGTAGAAGGCCAACCACATTCGAAGTTTCATAACACGTATGTATGCGGTCGCACGCACACGAGATGTCATTAAAACAGCGCGTTGCTATTTCGAATAAGCGTGCGTGGCCACGTAAAAACGTGAGGAAAACGAAAAAGAAAGAGCATACTCAGCTCGCTAGATTTATTTTAGGGGCGAGAAAGTATTCGACAAAAATTCCTTTCGCCGCTCAAATGCAACTATGGTTATTTGTACTTAAAAGAAATGAAATTCAACATGAAAATATTCGACATAAAGTAATGATAATTCATTAATTTCTTAGTTATCCAGAAATTCGAATAAATTACATGAACTTTGTTAAGTATTAACATATATAAGTATCTTAGGTATTATTAGACGTCGTACCGAAATAAAATGTTTTGTTTATCAATAAGATCGTCTATTATACGTATTATACGAAAGTATATGTCTTGAGTATAATGAAGTGAAATAAGGGTAAATTATTTTATATAGAATTCGCTGATTTTGAGGTTAACTTAACCGTCTGACGATTTATACGGAAATTCGTTCATTTTGTGTTAGGGGTTTTCTGAGATTAATCCTAATAAATCATTGTGCGAGAATGTAAGTTACAAAAAATATTTACATAAAAACGTTGGCTTGCATAGTTAGAAAAATTAAGAAACAAGAATAATAACTTAAAATCTATAGATGCAACACAGATTTAATTATTTTTGGTTACTATGAACTTCACTTCTTCGAAACATCAAGATCGTAGATAATATATAAAATATATCTTACTCTTAGAAAGATGCACAAACAATACAATTTTTAAGATATTTTTATACAAATTTAGTGAGAAATCTATAAACGCATTCCCGTACAAAAATATATATTCTCAAATAAGGCATTAGTATTTAATTAGCGTAATTATTCGCTACTAGCCAGTAAAATGTTTGTTACATCAATTATCCTAATATATATCCACGTACTTGTAGTTCGAATTTATTTATAAGCACGATTATCTATAATAAAAATAGGGTGATATTTTTACGAAACTTAAAGAAAAAAACATTCCCTTTGAACGAACATGCATATACGACGAAGCGGACTGTAAAATGTGATTATGGCACAAGATAAAATTTCCATATATTGAAAATCTGGTAAAACCTTACCTTCAAGCGTGCCAATTTGCCCTCTCTCACAACGGTGTACATGACCTTTTTAACATCCATTTTCACATACATAATATAATTCCGTTGAATACGAAAACACTATTCGATCCTCGTGTCGTAGTTCTTTCGACTCGGTAGCGACTGATGTATCTCTTTGTTCGAAAACACGGTAAATGCGTTGAATAGTCTTTTCCCGTTCGTCACTTGCGATATCTTTTAACGAATGGAACGGAACAACGATCTATCTCACGGCGAGAATAACAGACGAATGAAATAGACCCCGAAAGATACACGGTCACCGCTATTGCTTCTCACTTCGCAAGAACAGTTTTACAGTTAGATACGCACGCGCGCATACAACACAAGCATTGGATCAATTCCTCTCTTCAAGTGTCTTGTTTCGGTCGTTTTGCGAACGCTCGTCTAGTTTGCTCATCAGATGGCGATACCTGTACTTTCACTTCGACAGTTCGTCAACAACTGAATGCAAGCTACCAACTACGCTGAATCAATCGTGTTAGTGTCAGCTGTTAGCTATTTCCATCTCTCTCTCTTTCTTACCTTTAGTTTAATATATTTGAGCTCAGTCATATTTAAAATGATGTATCGCACATTAGAACATGTAATATATGAAACTTGATTTATTAAGTATCTTTTATGATATACATTATTATCATATATCAATTTACAGAGAATAAAGATTTTTCTGTCTTTGTCGATATCTTTATAAGTATGCGCTAGATTCGTCTATATTAAAATGTGTTAGTTCGATCATTCGTTAACAGAGGACAGCACAATATAGGGTTTGAGAAAAATGTTGATAAATAAGATCCACTTTTTTACATTTAAATGTACTGCAAAAAGCAAAATAAAGAAAATGAAATTCATAAAGTATTCATTATAATTTTTTAGAGTATAGTTTCCAAAATAGTGACAAAAGATTTGTTGTCAAATAATATACTTTGTATCTTCCTAACATAATCAAATACAAATACAATAATGTCATCTTTTTTATTTAAGAGACTTCAACAAATTTATAAACATTGAATAGTACCTTGATTACTTTTAATTTGTTATGATTTTTAATTCGTTATTAATATCTTTTAATAGAGGTTATGTTACCAAATTTATTGATCATTGATCAATCAATTATAGAGTGTATATATGTATATAGAATTAAAAATTCAGTGTGAAAATGATATTCAATTGCTTTCATATCTGTTATATTTATAAAAATCATTAAAACGAAATGTTGAGTGTATACAATTTCATATTTATATATTTATCAAAGTGTTTACATTTTTATTAGGTAGACATAATTAGTCTATAATCACTATATTAAATCTTTCGGCATTAAAAAATCATAAAATAATGCAAAATTTATTATTATACTCCTAATGTGCAAAACATTTAATAAAATTAATAAATTGCGTACTATTTATATTTTATTCACGCACACATTTTTAACGATTCGATTTCAATATGTCTTCTTGCATTATTCGATAACTGAAGTTGTTACTTTGTATGCATTAGACAACACGATTTGCAACCTCCAGAAAAAAAGAGAAAAAGATTAAAACAGGACAGCCAAAAGAGTCGTTAAGTCGGCACTTCACCCTCGATTTTAACGCCTCGAAGTGACGCACTCCTGCATCAAGTACGTTTTAGTTCGTCCTATATTTTCGTCGATATCGGGGGTCTTACTTTATTCCAGTCTCGACGCTTTCGACAGACTTACGTCAGTAGCCTTTGAGCACACTACCTCGACTTTCTTACAAGAGAATATTATTAGCGAAATGATGATATTTGTTGCTGAACAATTACGATTAACCCTAAACTATAAATCACTGACGAACATCCTACTTATGTCATTTCAATGCATGTCCTATGTATGTACGTAGTTAATAGGTTAGTTTCGATATTTTTTCTAGAGCAATACTCATACGAATAAAAAGTAAAACTAATGATAAAAATTATAAATAAAAGTTATCGTAATAAATAGATTTTATCTAAATGTACACAATTTATATAATTTATACTTTTATATATATGTAAAAAACTCATATTTTAAATATTTTTTAATAGGTAGGTTCATTTACGTATAACGATGAACAGGAATCATATATCTAAAGGTTGGGAAGTCAAAATATGTATTATTTTGTATTTTATTCACGATACATGTTTTAGGTTTACATCTTTGGCTTTTACATACATAGTTATAGTAAAGTCTACCGTACTATAACCTTGAATTGCTCGAAAATTTTTCTGTGTAAGGTGAGTGTAAAATTGTCTCATATATATATATATACAAAACTTGCTTATAAGTCTATGTCATAAGATAAAAAAAAGAATCATTACAATCGTCGATCCTAGATCTATCTTTCATTGAGACAATATGTAAAATAATAAAAACACGTAATATATGTACTACAATCTTGTACAATCATTGTAAAATGAAATTTTAAATCAAGTCAAGTCTGATTATTACTATTTTTCTATTGCATTTGAGATATAGAATATTTCTGTAAAATCTGTCATTATATATTTCAAAAATTCTTACTAAAATATTACGGTATAAGATAAAATGATTTTTCGGTATTTTCTATTCTTTAGCAATTATAGTATACTTTATGTATGTAATTAATATAAAAATACATTGTTTCGTATCCTACCAGAGATTCATTAGTGTTACAGCACTCTATAGAGATTAATGTTAAAGAATCGTACGATTACCATAATTCAGGGGATCGCAAAAACGAAGCCGTGCTACCAAACGTTCCTCAATTATCGAAATGGAGAGAAGCTAAACGAGAAGGCGGCAGCATTTCGTCTTGTTGCTTTCTTTTCTTTCCCAGCTCGCGCATTGCCTGTTCATACAACGAAAGGATAGCTCGGTGTAAAAATGAGTACAGAAAAGGGCACGTGGGTGGTAGATGGGTCAGAGACAGAATGAGATGGCTGATAGATGGAAAGAGTATCGTGAGTGTGTGTGCGTGTGTACGCGTGTGCGCGCGTTTACCACATTGTGTAGAGTGTATATGGAAGAGGCACAGCTGGAAAAAAGGTGTACACAATAAAAGCGGTACTGTCACACCAAGCTTCACCAGAGGAATGAAAAACAGAGTCACCGAGCTTTGTAAGACTGGCATTTTCGGTGACAAGACCAGTTGGAAGAATAAGAAATGAGTCTTATAACGATAGTCTTGCTACCAGTGTAGAAAATTACATATTTGAAAATTGTAAAAATCTATTTTGTATCGCGTTTAAAGTTTGCTTCGAGAGTTTGTCACTTTCGAAAAGATTGTATGTAAACATTGAGAGGTTGTTTAATCCTGAAAATTCTCCTGTTTTGTTTATTTCTGTATTTAATGTTTACATTACACGATTCGTTAATCTAACGAATACGCTCGTACTTATATTTTGCTTATTTTTGTACTTAACGATGTACGTTTAACGATATATACTATAATGACGTATACGTTTGTCCTTAAAGTTCATTATTTTGTAACTCGAGAAAGAACTACTCTATGATTTCCTTTGAAGACTTTGTTGTGTGTTCGCAACGTCTTGCCATGGTAAAAACGTAAGATTGCGAGAGAAATGATATACAGACCAAAGAACTACGAAGTTATTTGAAAAGCATAACTTTGTTACTGTGATAGGACGAAAGCTTCTTAAATTATGTATTCGAATTATATATGGATATTCCGCGTGCAATCTTGTCAATCGTAACGCACGCATAATTGGTGCTTGCAAGGAATATTAAAACATAAGCAATGATAAATCCGTCATAAAAGAAAATAAGTACATACTCGATCTGAACGTACGATACAAAGACTTTAAGCTGGCCTGCTTACCGCGATTTAGATCGAATCGAGAAAGGGAAGTATTACGTTCAAAGTTTGGTTTCCGTTCCCATCGTTATAAAACGAGTAGAAGTATTGTTAAGGAACATGGTTAATAAATTATTGGGAGAAAGTAGTTGAAGAATTCTGTAACGTTTGTACATCGATAACGCATATAAACGAGACATGATAAAGGAATCCCTCTGATGCTTAATTACCATACGAATATTGAGCGAACGTAGTCGGTACTGTGAAAATACGATATCGCGAACGTTTCAAACACTCAAGATAAGACCGTCCTATCCCATTAACCAGTTCCTTTTTTTATCTTTGACGAGAGACGTAGCTCAGGAGCGAGTCGTTCCCCGTAGGAAGAATGATTATCCGGACGGTTCGCGTGTTTTACAGGTTTTCAGAGGTTCGTGTTCACCGGAGTGGTGCAAGTTAGATATATAGACCCTTTTACGACGCCGGTAGTAGATGATTCCAGCGTGGTATACTTTAAGAACGGTAGTACTCTTTAGGGAAGCAACTTAAGGCGACTTGTGCCAACGATGCTTCCAGCAAAAATACGACAGTTTTATATTTAAAATATCCTAGAGACATGCTCCATTGTTCTATCCTCGCATCAACATAATATCGTCTTACGTTGTTGCTCTGCTTTGATACATCGTCGCATGCGCCCCAGTTGTATATCGCGATACAAAAGACATATCGATTTTCTTGACATCGACTTTCAACTGTAATACAACGTATTTGATCCAATTACTAGTGAAATTACGATGGTCTCCAACATCCGTCGTTTCTTCCGTTATTAGTCACGCGATAAGAAACCAGTAATTTCGTGTGCGTACGCAAAGACGTTTACTTATATACTCCGTTGTTTTCTCTGTCACGTAATTTAAGAGGAAATTATGTAGATGTTCGGTGAACGACAGTGAGAGAGAGAGAGAGAGAGAGAGAGAGAGAGAGAGAGAGAGAGAGAGAGAGAGAGAGAGGAACAAAGAAAGAAACGCGAGCTTTCGAGTTAGCTTGTTAGCTAGTTTAAATAAACGATTAATCATTGATCGTAATTATCACAAGAATACCGGTGGAAGGGGAGTAGGAAATCACGCAGTCCCCCACCATTTCACTCACAACGTACTTAGGTATCGGTAAAACGAAATCGTACAGGCGAGCAAGGCACAACTTATTATTTTAAGAAACGCATTGTTTCCTTTCTGACTATAAAACGGCACGGGAAGTTCCGCGAATATATCAGCTAAAGGTTTCCAATTGCATTTATGGCCTTTCTCTGTCTCGTTTCATCCCTTACTCTGACTTTATTTATCTCTCTTCCCCTTTCACATGTTTCTTGTGTATACCGACAAATAGCATTTCGTTTCTGTGCACAAGTCGTTTCTTTGCAACCTCATTGCACGTTGCGACCGTGTGGGTGACCACCGGCGCTACGTAAATATGGTTATACGACGTTGTACGTTGATAATGAACGCGCGCGTGTTCGTGCAAAAGTGTAGTGGGCTGCGGCTTGCGGTAAGGGCTCGGAAGAGGGATCGAGAACCGAAGCACAATGCACCAAAGGTGGGAATGAAAGAGGGTGAGGGAGAGAGAAAGATGGAGGGAAAGACATTGTATATGTACATCT